AAAGTGCTTTTGAGATAACCTACTTCCACATCAGCAGAGCAATATTATCTCCTTTATTATTGGTGTTGATATTGTTTTACTGATGAAGAAATAGAGTCACGTAAGATTAAATAACTGCCACAGAATAAAAATTCAGCTGATCTAGGAACAGAAATTAGATCTCCTGAAAGAAAACTCCGGGCTCTCTTTCCTTTCTATCTCCTTGTGAATCTGATCAAACAGACCAGATTAATAAGAGGGAGATTTGCATTTGATTTCAGTGTACAGAAACAGGCTGACAAATGATTAGATGCACCAAACAAAAGTTATCATATCACAGTTAAATCTGTAACTCTAAGTAAATATCTTATACCTGTTAAACTCTTGTTAAAGAGCTATTAAAATATATTGCATCTAGGATATATAGTAGGTTATAGTAGTTGGCCAAATAGATTGATAGAGCTCTTCAGAGATTCTCAGCTTTTCAGCGCTCAATAAAACAGCATGAGTTTGTACCTTTCAAGGTCAGTAGTACCAGTGATGAAACAAACAAATGAGACGCTACTTCTTATTTTTCCTTCATAAGCTTTTTTCTTGGAGATTAAAAGGTGTCTGCCTAAAATGTTGAAGTCTGTATAACACAAATACAGAGGAAAAAAGATTAGTGTCAGGATGAAGACTTTAACAAGCAAAAAGCCCATATAGCACATTTTGTATTTTTAAATGTGTACTAAGAACAATCCAAACATTTCTTCAAATAAACAAGCTTGATACTAACTTGATAAAACATAGTTTTACATTTGCATGGTAGCATATATGAAAAACAAACAAAAACCTCAGATCAAGATTGTGCAAATGCAAATACTCTACTATAGAAATGGCTCTTATAAGGAGATTGATGAAAGAGGGAGCAAATCCTGAATGAAAAGAATTTGTTATGTTGCTTAATGAAATTTGTTTTGATATCACAGTGGTGAATGGGGATAAGCATCCGTATGCTTATGCAGAAAATGAGGCCCATAAACTAGAAATTAGACTGCTCTGTGAGTGCTTGATGGTGCAGTTAATGCTAAGATGACCATTACAGTGATCATCTTGGAAGCCAGCTATTACTAGAGAGTACCTACATGTTGAACCTACATATAGTTCTGAAAAGGAATGAACAGTCCATTGTGAAAGCTCACATGCTTTCCCTGGTGCTCCTCTTCTGGGTTGTTGAAATGGGACATAGAATCTGGTACAAACTGGGTTCACAGAGGGTAGGCTTGGATGGAGCTGGCCTTTCTGTGAGCATAATGAGAGGCAAGATGCCCTGTCCTCTTCACTCTTCTGTGGAAACATAGGTCTTTCTTTAAACAGGAATATACTATACCATATAGAATCTAAAGTGAATGTGACAGCTTCAAGGTGTTGTTGAGTTGGCTTTCAAATGTGCATGTACCTCAGTCTCACAGAAACAATTGCTTATCCTCATTGAAAATCAAGTTGTTATTCAAAGAGCTGATCTAATCAGGAAGAAGCATAATTAAAAAACGTGCTATTACCCAAAAGCAGACATTACATAAAATTCATTCTATTTTTATATCTTCCTGGCTGCTAGCTCAGGAATCTGACATTTACCTTTACAATCACAAATGTGACTACACTGGGCCAAACTCTCCTTCTTTTATTCCAGTATAAATATATAGGCAATGCTGTTGAAGTAATAGCTTTGCGGTAGAGTCACTCCACAAGAACAAGATTTTATTCAAAATAGCCACTAATTGTCAGGAAACTATGCTGATCTGAGTCCAGATGTTTATCTCATGTATTTGCAAGTCCAGTGTAATAGCACTGGAGTTGAGGAGACTATCAATCAGAGGTGTAAATGACATCAGAGCCTGGCTCCTGAGACAGCTAGCAATCTCACAGGCTAGGGACACCTAACATTCATATGTTACAACAATTTATTCAGGCTAAAGGGTAGCATTTTCAAAAGCATCAAAAGCGTTCGGAGCTCTGGTCCCATTTTCAGAATGCCTTAGTGTTTCAGAAGTTCAAGCCCTACTGATTTACTGCAAGGGCTAAAGCTTTTAAATACTTATATCATTTCTGCAGATGAGACACAGTCAGCTAAGCCCCATGCCTCTGTGACATCCAGCTACCTCCTCCTTAAATTACTCTCCTCAATTTCACATTGAGGCTGCATCACTTTGGTGTTCTTGAATGTGCCAACAGTGCACCAAGGGTCAGAAGACCCTGTAGCCAACTCTGGCCCGTGGGTAGTGCAGTGCCCCGCAGATGCAGTGCTGAAAGAGCTCCAGCAGCATTTGCATGGCTGCATGTTGCTCAGGCATTGAGCTATTTAAGTGTGTACAGCCTGGATCTGTTCCCTGACCCAGCTCTTTTGCTGCTATCTTGAGTGTGTTGCACAGTGCTACTCTAACAGATGTGCCTGAAGCAATCCTCTTCAGAAACGCTAGAACATGGCAGGCGCTCATGCCCCAGTTGGTATGTCAGAGGTTTTACGGATCATTCACTTGGACTTAGATACCCAACTTCCCCGCCAAGATGCATTTTCTTTGTGTGGTTGTCATATGGGTTGTTTCTAAACACAGGCTTTTAAGGACATTTTGTAAATTTTGGCCAAAGGTCTTAGCGCCACAAAGTTACTTCTTACCTAGCAATGGTAAATTCCAGAACACTGATTTTCTAAGTTTGTTCTGAAATGCATAATTATGCGGTTATTTTTTAAAGGTTCTCAGGCAGAATTCTGGAAGCTGCACTGATTTTTCCTCAGGAGTGTTTGCTACAGTCTAAGCCCTATTGTAATGGACAGTTCTACCATTCCTGGGATCACAACTCGGTCATCACTGGGCACTTCAGAAACTCCTAGTTTTATCATGCCTTTATATGTTGCAACATATAAACTCTCAGTAATAAAATCCAGGCTGATTTTAGATGATTAAATCAAACTCTCTATATAGGAGTTTTGCAATGTCTTACATCTTCAAAGTGTCATATAAATATAAAGTAAATAGTCCTCCACAGTCTTGTCAAAGACATTCATAATTACACTAATTTTGAAGTCAGAAAATTAAGGTGTAGCAAACTAACTCTATAGCTGAAGAAAGCGAAGGAAAAGGTGACCTTTTACTACTTTTGCACTCCCCAGTATGTTAGGGAATGTTTAAAATATCACCTGGATTGAAAGGACCACACTGAATAGTGTTTAGCAAGCCATTTCTGTTCAGCATTAGTTGGGGACTTGCCCGCATAGGCAGAATTTCCAGTTCCCCTCTTGGAAAAGCTAATGGCTTTTTGTGTTGCAAGAGCAGCACAGAGAGACCATTTGTACATTTAAAAATATTGTTAATGTAACTATGACTGGAATGCGAAAAAAAAAGATTCCTATCAAGCCCTGGACAGATGTCGTCTTCCATACACAGCAAAACTGGGATAAGAGGTTACCCTCCACCTCTCCTTCTGAAGCTGGACCATTATGCAGGAAGAAAATGCAAGAGGCAAGAGAGGTCCTGAACCTGTGGCCTAACGCCTGGTTTCCCAAATGCCATTTTTGGGGGTACTACTGTTGGAAGCAGCCTAAATTTGAGACTGTAAACATCATCACCTGAACATTACCACTGTTTCAACCCAATCCCCTCTTCCTTCCCCTCCCTGTCTCACAGCCCTATCACTCCTTAACCCACACTTGTCAGCTGCTTAAACCAAGATCTTAATCACCTATTCTTCATTTTCCAACCCCCTATGCTTTCCCCTTCCCAAACTGGTTCTTCAACCACAATTCCCCAGCTATTGAAGGCACACCCTCTCTCAACAACCCTATTCTCCTTACCTTCCCCACATAACTTTTTTCCCATGGCCTTAGCCAAAACACATGTCCCAGACTAATTCGTTTCCGGTAGGCACATGAGGAGAACAGCAGGGAGGTCTGGGAGCTGCAGACAGCTTCACACATCAAGAAGTTACTGGCCAGTCCCGTGACAGGAGCAGCTGTGTGAAGGCTCTTTTTCTGATTTGTAAAAGATCCTGGATGGAAGCAAAACAAGCAGTTCTTGATAACTGTTTTTGCTTGGCTCATGTGCAACACAATGTGGGAATATCTAGCCTATTGGTTCAGACTTTCATCTGGCGAAGGGCAGTCTTTGTTCCCGTCCTTGATTCTGAGGTTGTGCCTACTTCTTATGCATCAGCTTTGTGCCATATGTATATGCAGGCTCAGGCATGAACTCCCTCCAGGCTGCTCCCTCCTGGCTGAATGCTTAAAATTGTTCTCCTGTGCTGAAAGGTTTGTTGTCTTTGACTTGGGTCCTATGAAAATCCATGAGTTTTATTTGGGTAGCATGTTTAGTACATCAGAGCAAATGTCACTATGAAGTTGGTGCTTGTAGATAACTACTTTCTTGGAGTCATCATTTGCTACTCTCTGGTAATGGTATGCATTCATATGTTAATCCACTCTTAGAGGGCAGTTGTGCCTGCTTATTTTGTAAGCCTTTATCAAATGACAGCAAAATTAATAGTTTGGTTTGTGCCAATTTGATACAAGATGTTTAATATGAAAAGCAAAATATAAATCACTGAAGAGAATTTTGGAACATCACTTATTTCTCTGCAACTAAAATATTTTAATGCTTTTTTTCTGCACTGCTATTGATATCAACATGCAGTCTCTCATTCTCTAGTCTGTAAAATAGAAAAGGTTCTTGGTAAAGAGTGTGTATGTGTACGTACATATGCTGATCGTTTTCCTTGCTGAACTGATCTGGACATGCCATATACTGTATGACATTTCATGAACTGCAAATAAATTTAATGGTTTGGGTTTTAAATCAATCAGTGAATGCCAAGCAGTATAACAGAGATGGGAATGGGAACACGGATTTCTAGGTTGATTCACTTTGCAACTTGTTTAACCGTGACTCAGAAAATGAATTTGAGTTTCACTGTAACAAAGGCAGATGCTATTCTCCAAAGAGATTTTTCTGATTTTGCCATTCTATTTCTTCCTCTCCTCACAGAAACCAGTGGATTTTGATTTCCTTGCATGCTGCAAATTAGCTCTGAAGGAATGGAAAACTTCAACAGAAAACCCTCAGAAGTGTTCTGAGACTCCAGTAAGGGAACTAGAAAAAACAACTTGACTTGCAGAATTTCTCCAGACCCATGACTGAATCTGCTAATGCAACACTAATTTAAGACACCTTTGTATATAAGGTACTATAACTCCTCAGCTCCTTAGCAGCAACTAAAACTCTTGGGGTTTTTTTTGTCCCCCGGTATACATTGGGCAACAGAGAAATCCAATTTCCATTCAGTTGTTCATGAAAACAGCCAGCTACTAAAATATAATGCTTTAAAGGTTTTTTTTTTTTGCAACATATTGCAACACAGTTCATTGCCTACAACAGTCCAAGCCAGGCTAGAAAAAAGCATTAAAAAAAAGCATTTGCGGGACAAGGAGGTGATCAGGAGTAGTCAGCATGGATTCACCAAAGGGAAATCATGCTTGACCAATCTGCTAGCCTTCTCAGATGGAATGACTGGCTGGATAGATGAGGGCAGAGCAGTGGATGTTGTCTCCCTGGACTTCAGCAAGGCTTTTGACACTGTCTCCCATCACATCCTCATCGGTAAACTCTCGAAGCGTGGGTTGGGTGAGCGGACAGTGAGGTGGATTGAGAACTGGCTGGATGGCCGAGCTCAGAGGGTTGTGGTGAATGGCGCAGAGTCTAGCTGGAGGCCTGTGTCTAGCAGTGTCCCCCAGGGGTCAGTCCT